GCGATAGGGAATTATTCTGAACCAATAGGATGTACAACTAGAACAGTCCATCCATTGGCAACCCACGGCTGACGTGTCTTAGAAATAAAATATATATAAATCTTAAAAAAACACCAAGATGCTTAAAGTATATGTGCTCACCTTGGGCTCCATCTATCTAATTCAAAACGAATAAAATGCGTACAACACTCCCTTGCCAACAGAACACGTAACGATTTTATTGTTATCGTAACGACAGGGACATGGATTGTTTTTTTACAGTAGCAAGTTTGGACCTATCCTAATATGAAGAGAGTACTCATTAACGTGTTAATAGTTCGGAGAATTTGTTACAGTACATGTACAAATGTAGGTATATTTAGGCCTATCCCATTCCGTCTTTTCGTATTGCGGGGTTATCTGATCTTGTGAGCAGGTATTGATTGTTACGTCATTAGTTTGTGTGAGAAAATTACGTTGTTTTCTCAAAAAATATGACGTTATGGTATATAAATAAATAAATGAATAAATAAATATCAACTTTTTTAATTTATAATAATTATGAAACAATGTATTTCATACTCGTATTAATCAATCTTGTGTGCCCGGATGTTAGCGCGCAGGTCTTGGTCACAGGGACCTGAGAATTGTAAAATTGCTCTGAACAACTTAGTTTAGGTCAATCTAATTAAAATTATATCTTCACATCGCTCCCGTTTACTGATATGTCGCGTTGAAGATCTAACAACATTCCATAGAGGGTCACGTCAGAGGTCAACATGAATGCATTATCGTATTTATAACAAGCCAATCAAAACGCGACATAACTCTTTCTTTCAACCAATCAGAAAGCAGGACCTGTAGCATTTAATGCAGACACCTCGTAGCCCAAAATCCCCTTTTTCGTCTGGTCCAGTGATAGTTTGAATATTGCGAAGCCTGTCATTGGTTAATTTTAGTTTCAGGTTGTTAAACTTTTTAACGACAACATCACCAGAAGAGGAAGTCTCTCTTATTTCAAAGCAAAATCCACAAATTGTACAAACGTTGTCTTGTAGATAGACACGGCGTGGTGTCATGGGCGCCGCCATTTTCGATGCTCATTTGACACCTCTCGGTCTTTTATCATAACAAGTGTGTTCCGAAATCATTACATCATCACTTACAGAAATGCGTAAGCTCTCATCTGATTGGTTAACGCAAAGGTCGCCTGAACATGACCCTCTACGGGATGTTGTTAGATCTTCAACGCGACATATCAGTAAACGGGAGCGATGTGAAGATATAATTTTAATTAGATTGAGTTTAGGTCCAAATATATATCTGTAACAAATTATCGGGTCCCTGTGGTCTTGGTGTTAGAGTATATATATATCTGAAGTACCCAGAAGAAAGCCAATGGCCACCATCGTGGGGGGTGGGGACTACCAAGTGCTAATCAAACAGTATTTCATTGCTTATAAGGATGGGTCCAAATACATCCACTGACAAAAATTCTCATGTACATGTGGTCGTAACCTACCATGGTTTGGTCATATATAATTCATAAATACAGACGAAAAATATTTCAAGGATGAAACATAAAACGGTTTCTAGATCTGCACTTGAATAACGTTACAGTTGCTTAGTTATTTTTCAGGCCGACTAAAACAAACATCTGTTTTCTGATATGTTTCACTGAAGTTGGACTCGTTCTGCTAATTTTAGACCAGTTCTAAGATTAAGGTCAAGATGTATTGCTCCATTGATACAATGCAAAATTCAAAATAAAAACGTGTAAAAAGTCAATATGGCATTTCCGTGTACTAGGTTTCGTTTTTCTGGCAGTCATCCTAAACAGATGTATTTTTGACCTATACAAAGCGTTTAAATGAACAATTATATCCTCGGAAATATATCTTCCGTGCCTGTTACACCTGGAAAAACACGCGTACCGAATATTTATGATCGTGAATTTGTTGACCTAAATATTGCGTTTTAAATTCGGAAACAACTGTCCGTCCTGGATTCTTATAGCATCATTTTTATCACATTTTGAAGATATTTTTTAGGATATGGATTGTATCTAATCTTCATTATTCTTGTATTCCGGTTTGATTAATCAATTCACATATTTTTGCATGCTTGCAGTTTTTTCCAATCCTTGCTTAACCTAACTATTTCACATCTGATATTTCGAAACACACCTGACTTTTCCCATTCGATACATATATGTATCTATATTACCGTAGCAACCGCACGCCGTCGGTACACATCTGGATTTTCCCATTCGATCTTACTGGGAACATGAGCAAATCATTAAAATATGTGACCCTTGGAACTAGGAACCATATTTCACGCGGAACTGAGGATATTTGCATTCGGTTATCGGGTCGATGACACACCCTTCCGGCAGATTATTTTATTAGATACACAATCCCAAAACTCGAACGTATATTTTACAACTCTATCAAATAAATGAAATCTCCAAGACTGCCAATGCAATTCAATCAATCAATAATCAATCAATCAATCAATAAAAATATATCAATCAATCTATCAAAATATATCAATCAATCAATCAAAATATATCAATCAATCTATCAAAATCAATCTATCAAAATCAATCTATCAAAATCAATCAGAATGAATGAATGAACCAATTAATCAAAATCAATCAATCTATCAAAATTTAATGAATCCAAATCAATCATTCAAGCAATCAATCAATAAGTCAAAATCAATCAATTAACATTTAATTAATCAAACTCCATCAATCAATTAAACTAAATCAAAATAAATGAAACTAAATCAATAATTCGAACACACTCAATCTACCTCGGTTAATCACACTGAATTTATCAAACTAAATCTAATCAACCAATTGGTGTAATTGATCTGGACCACAAAAAGTGCCTTTATACACTGTTTGCTATTGCTACAGTAACAAAAATACGTATATGTTTTATCCGACAAATCGCAGATACATTTTTAATTTATATAAATCACATCATCATGAACCCAGTTAAAATTCACCTCAATTCATAACAGAATTTGAACCGCAGTTCCCCATTTGAGTCAAAGGCCTTGCGCACTTGAATGTGTCCCTATTTCGATTGTACACTGTCGATACCCCTCCCTAACCGTATGACGCATCCCTCCCCAGAGGTACCGGGATCGTTGCCCGGATTCTCCACCATGTTGGGTCAACGTTCGGAGTTTGGGGAACTCGCCTGCAGTGATAATGAGGCGTTGATCCGTACGTTTATAATACAAAGAGTACGCTGACAAGAACATGTGTTTCCCTCCACTTTATTCACCGGAAACAACAACCTCGCAACTCATAAAATTGACAAAAGAAGCCGGTCTCCGGACAGGAGATCCGGAATTAAAAACAAAGCCGGATTCCGTACCAGTATTCCGGAATTACAGTGATAAATTAGAGCTACCTGACCAGTATACCTGTGTGTACACAACACCCGCCCCGCCCCCGTGCCAAACCCACCTCTGAATTCCGCTCATCTACTGATCCCAACATACCCACTAAACAAAACACCACACCTTTTCAAATACAAACACAAACAATGTGCATTTGTCACAGGCTTATGAATAAAATATTCCCATTTAGCATCCTCCTGCTCCCAATCCGAACATCTAAACTATATCCCGCGTATTACCGGCTAAATGATAAAAGTAAACAGAAAAAAACCCAAGACAAGAGTACAGACGGACATCATAAAACAAAAGTCTGTTCGCCCTACACACGCAACTCCGTACGGGTTGAAATGCACTTCACATGGACGTTTGATTTCATACAGAGACAAGTATTTACAAGACTTACTGGCACCATATACGTGTGTAAAGCTCATCGTATGAGAAAATATACCGCATAGGGGCCCGACAATATAAAATGTAAAATAGATGCGGCATGTGCAAGTCTACGAGTAGCAGTTTGACCCCCTAGACTTGCATAAGTTCCGACAACACTTCCGCGTATGACCATTTGACCTCAAATGACTTTTTCTCTACCTGACCACACCGATGAATGACCAGGTCAGTTGATCTGCTAATACGTGGTATTCAATTAATAAATCGATTACCATATTTTTTTAATCATTAAAACGATAAATCAAGCAATTTAACGCCACCAAAGAAAATAAATCAACAAATCTCCAAATTTTCTAAAATTACACCAATATTTGTCATAAATTAATGGACGATTTTTTTAAAAATCAAGATCGAGCATATCATTAAAAGGAGTGTGATACTTTTCTCATCGATCCTGACCAATATGATTTAATTATTTTTGGTATAACCCGAACACATAGAATCGTCCATAAAATCGACCAATATTTCCTATAAAATCGGGAGATTAACTTTCACACACATCATTGATAAATATTTATTAATCCTTATTTGGCTTAATTGACCAAGTTTATAGTTTTCCAATTATGAATATTTGTTCTCGAATGCAAAAACCTCTCCTTGATCACTGTTGACTAGACTCTACTAGAGTATATCTGATGTAATCCGTTTGCACTGTTTTCCGTTTTAATATCATTGTGATTAATAAATATCCAATATCCATCTTCTATTATTTCTCGACAATGAAATTGACGGTTGACATTCAATATAATGGAGTTATAATTCCCCATACATAATAGAGTGATGATTTAATAATTACAATAATATAATTATTTATATTTTGTTATTGTTTATAACACTGCATATACCTGATGTACATATATCGATACATATATATATACATACATTTGTATAAGTTAAGCAACTCAGCTTAGTGTTTCATTTAATCTTTCGACGTCTATTTATACAAATATGTTGGAATTATATATTGTCTGTATCATGTTTTTTAATATTTTCTTACAACTTGTTTATATAATTTTTCGTATATTTCACTAGGCTTTACTAAATATATACCTTCAAAATCTGTCAGTATATATATATACGCTAAACAATCACACATTATTTACCTTTTACGTATCATCCAGGAGAGTATTCAGAAAAAGTAAATGGCGACTTACCGTTTTTGTAATGCTGTCGTCTGCTTCGAGGTGTTCTGGACTGGCTGCTCAACCACCATTACCTAGAACAGTTAAATTGTCCGTGACCCCGAAGAAAATACAGAAACTGGTCTACGCATGTGCGGGAACAACGTTGGTTTCGTCTCCTCGGGTTCAACTCCCGGTCACGAACTCTAGTTGTCGAGTAAAAATGATTGTAATGGAGTTCCGCACAGACTGTATCCTCTTTAGTACAAGCTACGACCTTGGCCTTGTTCTGACAGCACGGTCTGTGTGTATACACATTCAGACAAGAGCTGTCATGCATTGTAACGTATTCCCACCGAGATAATAGATCGACTCAAAATGCATGTAGCTCAACTTGGTCACACATATGCCTTTATATGTGTGATATGTCTGTGTATATGTGGGTGTGTATGTGAAACTACTGGAGAATATTACATATATGTAATCTTTATATATATATATATATATATATTATATATATATAAAGAGAGAGAGACCAGTCTTGGGTGTTTCTCTCCCTTTCAACGTTAAAAGGATAAAATGCTAGTTTTTAAAAGCTTTCCTTCAGATCTTCGAATGGTCTGAAGGTTTCCTCGCCTTGACTGATGTTCTCCACAGCTTTGAATCTATCGCATCACGTAGACTTGTAGACAACAGAAGAAATTAGGGCAGATAAAGAGCGCTAGCCTAGACTATATTACATAATATACTGTCTGTCAGAATTCGAATAAACGTACAAACGCACACACACACATACATACAGCATCAGATATGTATTAAACACACCCTGTTTACCCAGTTGTGGCGCTGACTTGTACACAAAATCAATACACAAGAATTAGGCCGGCAGTGGAAAAGAGCCACGGTGTGCCCTATTTTACTTGACACGTCCAGAGACATGTAATATACGTCTCTGACACGTCTTAAGCAATTTTGACACAAATGCACTAAATAATTAAGGAAATGTTTGACATATGTGGGGGCAATATGGTTTAATGTTGTAACGGGGGTTATAATACGATGTCGCAAAATTGATTTACGAGTTCACTTTTGGCATTGATAAATTGTATTTCCAAAATTTTCTTATTCCTAGTAAAATGTTGTTCTACCATATCAAATATCTACAGATTTATATGTTGATTATTTCTGTTCGTCCTAGTAAATTGTAAGGAAACTACGTTTCTACATATTTCTACTTCAGTGTCCATTCGCCTATGTTATGCAATTACTTATCATAGTGCATTAGCCTATCTTACATAATGTATACAAATCTGCTCTTTCCCTGTATACCTCGTTCTACTCACTTTCTGTATTCCTTTCCCTTCCTAATGACTTTCTTCTTTCCCCCTTTTCTATATCTGATCAGTCGCTGCCTACTTGTGATTTTTTTAAAGTAGACATATATTTACATAAGTTTCAATTTATTTTCTGAATCATTGTTGTATAAAATGTATGTTATGAAATGCTATTGTGAAATAAAATAAAGTTTTAATCTATGTCACTTAAAAGCTGCACGAACATTATCTATTAATCCTGACGGTATTTTAACTGCTTATCCTTGATGTACTGTAAAAGTGGCCACTTTCGCGGTGTTAAAATACTCACGGTTTTCGTGTAACTGTTGTGCAAATAAGCGCGGAAGTATCCACACGCGAATATATATTTTTAGATTTTATAGATTATAGATACATAGAAAATTTAGGTTTCAGAAAATGACATTGGCTATCAGACTTTAAGTCCGTGTTTTATTCATTTTATTATTGCGATTGCCCGGCCGATCAAAGATTAACATATTGAGAGAAAAAGAACTACATCGATACTTGTCTGTACAAAAAGAAAAAAATTAGAAAAAAAGTAATTTTCTCACGTGATTTACTTTTTTTCTTTGTTTTATTCCTTATCATTTGAAATTATTGCGTAATTAAAAAAAACTCTATTTATTATTAAAATGAAATGAATTGGATTAAGTATACATTATCCTCTTAAAGAAAACATTGAAATATTTCTTATAAGGATTAGATATAATATAATCATAACTCTACTGACTGAGATGTATGTGTGTTTCCCACCACAGGTTTTGGATTGACCGCTCAGTGAAAAGGTCAGTCCTTCGATCTGACCAGTGGGAGGGGGTAAAGTGCGGATAGGTCAGACGGATCATAACGGTTCTATAGCTAGCGGTATCTCAAGTACGCGCGTACGCGTGCACCGTTTTCCGTGCGTGACCGACATCTGTCTGAACGGCAGGGGGGGGGATACGTGAAGTGGTAGAGGGAGCGACGTCTCACTGTCAGAGGAATTCAAATGAATAGAGATCAATTGCACTCCCTCCCAACTCCCCTTCCCCTTCCCCCTCCCCAATCCCCTCCCTACAAAAAGATATGATCTGATATCTGGTAACGTACCTCGTGCAAGGGAATTTTAACATTTAACATTTATGTAATATTCTGCCTATCTGGAATTCCTCTGAGCCACCTGCTGAAAATTTGGCTTTATCAAAGCAAAATGAGCTAACGATTATTAGAAATTATATTAACAATGGCAAAATTGCAGCCAACTGAGAACGGAATATTTGTTCAACAGTATAAAAAACAGTTCCGGAATAAAAGACAAAAAGTTACCAGCAAAGAAAGGCACACTGTGATAAAGAATATCCGTAAAAATGTCGCAGATTTTTTTGTGTCTCTCAATTTTAGGCGTTTCATCGGAAATTCACTTTTTCTTTCTTTTTACTCAAGTTAAGAAATATTTAAAATTTTGAATGAAAATTTGTTGTTTTTATACTTGCTTTTTCAACAAATGTTTCAATAGACGCACCATACAACAAATAAAAAAAAATAACATCTATACATTCATAAAACCTTTCAAATCCTAAGCATGTATATTTGTAGGGTGACGTACAGCCTAAAAAACTACGAGAGATCATGATCTGCATATATCATCTCGAGCGACCTTGCCCCAAAACGACCTTTGTAATTGCCGGCGGCTCTATCGTCTGGCCTAGTGGCTTGTATTTCATCCCATCGCCGCACATTCGTCCAATGCCCAGTCACGATCGGTCAAGCAGATGTGTATATATGTGTTTCTAAACGGACCTAGTCATGTAGTATTACTTGTATTGATTATTGAACATATGCCATCATTTTCAAGATAAAGTGCATTCATGTGTCGTATGCGGTTTCAGATATTGCTTTTAAGCTCCGGTCATCTTTTCGGCTACACAAAGATAGAATTAACACATCTGGCCAAGATCAATTTTGACCTCTTCACCCCTAAACGTTGTAATCGTATGCTCCGTATCAACTAACAAACGATACCAAAAATCTTAAAGGCCGGGATTCGGTATCCAGGCAAACTAGGGATGATAGTGATAACATTAAGGGTCAAGCTATCAATCCCTACAAACAAAAATAGAATAATCGATATGAATAAAACGGGCGATCTAATTATCACATCCTAGGGGTTAAAGGTTCATTCATAAAAGGCGAAGCACCAACAAATAAAATTCATGACACCACTTATTTCCGACAATGAAAACGATTTATAAAAAAAGATAAGATTGAAAATCGCTGCACACGTTCCCCTCAGGGAGTGACGGTCGATTACAGCTAGACACTGGACATTAATATTAAGTGGCGTTAGGCCGTGGACGTGGTGGACGCTGACCGAGTAGTATAGGTGATTATGTTGGGGTGGACAGCGGTCAGTGCCTACAGGTGTGAATATTACAGGTATCAGGTCAGAGCAGCACCCAGTGTCCAGTAATGTATAGTTAGCTTGACCATTCGTAACTTAAACACCTCGATGCGGTGTTGAATTTTTATTAAAGCATATCTTTTTTACAACTCTATGGCATTGTCACTATATGACCAAACCATATTCAAAAGGCGTTCATATCACCTATGAATGCCATTGCTCAGGTGTAGACGTCGTCATTATTCTGACGTCATATTTGTACCGTTTGATATCACTGACCCTACCTCGAAAAAACTTATTTGAATATTTTAGCAACAAAAAATAAAAAACGAAAATATTGAAAAAAAGTAGTAAATATAAGTACTGAACACTTTTGGTGCCAACTGAAAGCAGTTCAATTCTTAAGGACACCTGTCCCACTACACGGTGTTATTTTTTCTATGTGCAGTAATCTCCCCTTAATTTCCGTTTAGATATAACTATAGCACAGTGGGACTATAGGGCACTTCTATTTACCAGGTATCTCAGACGGTTAGACGGATAGTATGACAATCTGAATTCCAGGGTTCGAATCCCAGTTTAGCTTAGCTGGGGTTCATTTTACACCCAGAAGACAATGGTTACTAATATTTTGTTTATTTCATCCTTATTATTGCTCATAAAAGTCCCGGAAGGTATCGTTTTCTTTTTAGAAATGATATTTCAAAGCTGTTGTCATGACGCAAGAAGAAAACAAAATCCATTTTAATTCGGAGCTACATATAAATGAAAATAAAATAAACAACAAACAAATTCCACAAGGAAAAAAATATAAACTGTAAACACTTGTCACTTTCAGTCCCAATTTTTCAGTCTCCTGACCTTCCTCAAGGGCGAAGGTTAACGATGAATCTGAAGTACGTCCAGGTTTCTTCTACGGAAGATGAGGGGGCTCAATTCCATCTTACTTCTACGGAAGAGGAGGAATAATACATAATTACTCTCCCCCAACGTCTTCCTAAGAAGCAAGATGGACGTTTCGTTAATTCATTGTTAACTTTCGCCCATGAAAGAGGTCAGGAGGCCGAAATATTGTATAACAATATAGGTATTACTAGGAACTGCATAACTATGGAATGTTTTAGCCATCAGTTAGAAAGGGGCAACAGATTGTTAGATAGTTAGACTGATAACGGTAAACTGTATACGTGTGAATGTTTGATACATAGCTATTTGCTTTAAATATGATACGCAAGGTTACGCTAAATGAGAACGGCGGAGAACGACGGAGAACGGCGGAGAACGGCGGAGAACGACGGAGATCGGGGAGAATGGATCAGGACAGCTCTTAGGACGACTTACAGAGAACGACATCCTCGATATCAAGGAGTTACGCTCACTTTGGCTCTCTACACCCCTGGAATATGTCATAGCAAAATTGAAGGCACGAAGATAGCTGTTTGATTGGTGTCAGGTAAGAAAACTGACCAATCGCTAGGCTGAGTCCTGTCCTTTGAAGATTACAAAGGAGAGACGCTCGACTTCAAAGCCTGTCAACTT